GTGCCAGAGGTCACACCCAGGTCGGCCGCATGCAAGGCAAGCACCCTATCTGCTGTACTATTTCTCTGGCCCCGGGAGGGATCTAAAGGCCTGTTTACATCCGGGCCTTCAGTGAGCACCCCCAAATCAGCCAGTGCCAGCCAGGCTACATTCACGCCTGCCCTGGGCAAGCTCAGAAGCAGCCCGTGGATGGGTCCTGCTGAACTTGTGGAGCAGAGTGCCACACCCTGCAAGGGGCGCAGCGAAATCCAGCCGTCCACAGCCTGGCTCTGAATCTACCAGGAAAGTGAGCACAACAGACTTGTAAGATTTTAACTTTTTTATACAGTAGACCTGGAGCTTTTCAGCTGGAGAGTAGCGCTCGAGTGAGGGCTGGGTGGGCCTGGGACAGAGCCGTGCTCGGCCTGTAGAGTGCTCTCCGGCCCCCGGAGAGGAAAGAAAAGCAGCTGCCGGGGTTGCTTCTAGTCTGCACCCAGGAGTTACTCCTGATGGTACTCAGGGAACCATGCCTCGTGCCAAGGCCTCTCCTCAGTCCAGCACTTCCCTTCTTTTGTTTCTGTGTGGGGCCACACCACACTCGGCTCGGCCTTATTCCTGCCTCCTGGCTCAGGGATCAAACCAAGGTTGGCCGAGTCCAGGCCAGCGCCCTGCCCGCTGTACTGTCACCCGGCCCCGTCCCTTTGCTCCTAATGGCTCCCTAGGCCTGTCGCCTCTGAAACATCCGTGGATGGGTGAGCGAACAGGCAGCCTGGATGTATTTATAAAATGGGATGCTAAGCACCGAAACAGAACGAGCTCCTAAAAACGCCACTTGGATGAATGTCTTAGTCATGCTGGGCAGAAAAGGCCAGATGCGCGGGAGAGCTCAGCCTGCGCCTCCTCAGCGCGGTTCTCGTGCCGGCAGGGCCCGTCCGCCACCCAGATCAGCTGCCCAGCATTGGCAGGAACAGTCAGCTGGGGGGGGGGGGGGCAGGGAGACCCCAGGGGACTGCAAGAGGTGTTTCATCCTGGTTTTGGAGGTAGTTACCTCCGTATATACTGTGTGAATCAAAAATGAATCAAGCAACTATAGAGATTAGTACAGCTTATTGTACGTAAATACCATTTTAGAAGAGCTCTCTCTCTCTCTCTCTCTCTCTCTCTCTCTCTCTCTCTCTCTCTCCCTCTCCCTCTCTCTTTTAATGCGGGTTAGCAAAGAAAGCTGACCAATTTCAGGCCGAGGAACTTGAACCTACCTTCCCTCTCTCCCTCTCTCCCTCCCTCCTTCCCTTTCTCCTTTTCTTCCTTTCTTCCTCCCCCTACCCTCCGTTCCTTCTCTCCACCTTCCCTCCCTTCTTTCTTTCTTTCCTCCTTCCTTTTTTCTTTCTCTTTCTCCCTCCCTCCTCCCTTCACTCAGCAGTGCTCATGGTTTACCCCGGGCTCAGGGATCCCTTCTGGCAGGGTTCGGGAGACCAGATGGGGTGCCTGGGATGGAACCTGGGTCTGACACATGCAAGGCAAGCATCCTGCCCGTTGTACTGTTGCTCCAGCCTCTACTTTGAGCCCTCAGAGTTATTCAGGAATATCCAGCAAATGCCTTTTGAGAGTCTATAGTGCGATCTGCACGAACTTCCGAGAACACACTTGTGAGCAGAAACTGTGTGTTTTCTGCTGACCCTCATGGGCAATGTATCTGTGGGATGGACATCAGCTAAAAACCGCCCCGCAGAGAAACACTGTCAGTAGAAGGTGTGTGAGTGCGAGTTGTGTATTAATTGGTCTGTGCTGCACGTTAATTGGTCTGCGATATGCATTAATTGGTCTGTGTTGCACATTAATTGGTATGTGGTATGCATTAATTGGCATGTGATGTGCATTAATTGGTATGTGACACACATTAATTGGTATGTGATACATGTTCTTTGACATGGCACTGGATATGTGTTGTGATGTACAGCATCACAAATGAAGTGCTTTTCGTGCCTTGCTTTCCCCTCTCATAACCCTTCCCGTCTGCCTGGGAGTCGTGCACAGAGCTAGTGCCTGTGAGGTGCGTTTGGACGATGGGTAGATTGGAGGTGGCCAGCATTGGCGGCCATCTGGACTGTGTGTCTGGTGCTGCAGAGCCAAGTCACTCGGCGGACACTGAAGTTGGAGGCAGTTTAGAGAGAAAAACGAGCCGGTTGGTTAGAAGTGTTGCCTCTGACACATGGGAACCACTGGAACTTTGTGATGTGCTTGTCAAGGCGACAGGCGGGGACGGGGTGGGGGCTGGGGTGGGGAGGGGATTGGATCTGGAGCACTGGTGGAGGGAAGTTGACGCTAGTGGAGGGATTGGTGTTGAATTATTGTATGCCTGGAACACATACAATAACTTACAGTCACACACAATCATAGCACAGCGGTAGGGCGTTTGCCTTGCACGCAGCCAACATGGCCGACCCGAGTTCGATTCCTCCGCCCCTCTCGGAGAGCCCGGCAAGCTACCGAGAGTATCTCGCCCGCACGGCAGAGCCTGGCAAGCTCCCCGTGACGTATTCGATATGCCAAACACAGTAACAACAGAGTCTCCAATGGAGATGTTACTGGGCCTGCTTGAGAAAATTGATTAAGGCTCTTTAATAAAAATTAAAAAAACAAAATTCTGGCTCTGAGATGCTTTGGAGTCCAAGTGGCTGTCTCCTGGGCAGTCCCAGAGCCCGGCAGAAGAGCTGGGCTGGGATGGGCCCTGGTGTGGCCTCGTTGAGGCATTAGCCCCAGCAGAGAGGGACTTAGCTCTCGATCAGAGTCCTGGGGAACCCCCGTGTTCAGTTAGTGTGCTCTTATTTATTTTGTCTGGGGGGAGGCACACTCAGCAATACTCAGGGCTTGCTCTGCTCAGGGGTCCCTCCTGGTGGTCTCTAGTGTCTGAGTCAGGTCAACTGCATTCAAGGCACGCGCCTTTTCCCCTTCTATGTCTCCAGAGACACCAGACTTGTGCTCTGGCCTCTGAGTGCCGTCTCCTCCTCTGGCACAGTAGAAAGACTTTGACTCTACAGTCAGTGAAATGTGCACCGCCTGGCAGCCATGTGACCTTGGGTGAATTAGTACGTTTGATTGTTCGCACCTGCTTTGGAAGGGCCCTCGGAGGATTAAGTAGCCCTGTTTGTCATGCACACATGGCATGGGGTCACACCTAGAAAGTGCCCTTCTTCCCCTCCAAACTGGCACTCGAGAGGGTGCGAGGACCCCGCTGGGGGCCAGGATCCTCCCTGGTCCTTTCTGAAATCTGGTTCTGTTGAGAACGATCCAGTGCTACTTCAGTGGCCCCTGCCGGGAACAGGCGAGCAGGCGTCTGTGGGTGAGGAGCCCCTGGGAGGAAGAGGACTCGGTGGTAAATAGTGACATCTACTGTAGCAGCTCCTCTTTGTACCGTCTTTAAGTAGCTGCAGTTTATCTGGAAAAGCGACTTTGATTCCTGTCACCTCATTTGGGGCACGGAAGATCATACAAAACAGTTTTGTCGGACGCACTGGCACAGGGTTGTGCATGGCGCCTGCTGCCCCGAAAAGCTCAGTTTTCCCGAAGTGACCGGAAACCGGGGTTATTACAGGAGGTTTCCTGAAGTGAAGGGGCCTCTGCTCAGCCGAGCATTTTAGGTTCCAAGTCTCTCTGTGAAGGGTGTCTGGACTGAAAAAGCTAGATTTGGTGAGTGCAGGATGAGGCGGCGGAGACGGAGCTCACCCCGATGCGGGGAGAAGGGAAGCGAGGGGGCCACAAGTGCCAGGGAGAGGAGGGAGACCCACGGCATCCAGCAGGATTTCTCTAGGGCTGGGGAGGTTGTCCAGGGCTGGGGGCACTTAAATCACATGTGGCCGAGCCTGTTCCAGTCCTTGACCCTAGTTTGATCCCCAGAAACGCATAAGTTGGTCCCCCAAGCCCCGCCAGAAGTGATCCCTGAGCACAGAGTCACGAGTCAGCCCTGAGGACCACTGAGTGTGGCCTTGCCCCCTGGCAGAAACACACACACACACACACACACACACACACACAAAACAAGTGAAGCCTTTTGGAACAAAAAACCAAAATCTTGTTTGTGTGTCTGAATTTTGGGTCACACCCGGCAAAGCTCAGGCTCAGGTATTACTCCTGGCTCTGCACTCAGGAAATCACGCACCCGGGACCATATGGAATGCCGGGGATTGAACCCCAGCTGGCTGTGTGCCAGGCGAGCTCCCTACCCACTGCTCTATCGCTCCTGCCCCAAACCTTGTTGGTTCCCGCAGCCCCTCATTGCCATTGCTGCATCAGCCCACAGCTCTGCGTCCTGCGGGCCGCAGCAGGGAGTGGCAGTGATGGCTGTTGATCCTCATTCATCATGCTGTGTAGTGACACCTTCGAGGTATGACACATGGCGGTGTGTACCCCCGGTGGCTCTTGTTGGAGTGTGGCTCAGTTAACACCAATCCCGGCACCTGCGTTAACGTGTTCAGTGATTCCAACACCTGGGAAGTGCCTGGGGGATCCCGCCTTCGGGGGCTGGAGCCAGGGCAGTGGCGCCAGACCTTACCCGCTGTTCTCTCTGTCCCCTCCCGTTTTGGTTTTATGGTTTTTAAAGTTTGAGATAATCTGGGTGGCCTTGCTTGAACAACTCCCCTTCGAGCAGGTCTTTTAACTTAAAGGGAGAGCTCCATAGATTCGGTTTTTATCCTTCCTCTTTCTGAGAATAGATAAATTGCTTTTCATCAATTATGTGAATTTATTTCCAGGTAAATTCGTGTATTTTGCTGTGGATCATACCCAGTGTTGGATTGTGGTTTGTTTCTTTCCTTTGGTTTGTCTTGGGACCACACCAGCTGTGCCCAGGGATCACTCCTGGCGGTGCTCAGAGACCAGATAGGGTGCTCGAGGTTGAACCCAGGTCGGCCTCATGGAAGCAAGTTCCTTATCTCTCCAGCCACTGCATTTGTTTTGAGACAGGGACTTGGTGTCACTCTGTGACTGATGGTGTATGTCTTCTGTTGTCCTGGTTTCCTTTACAGAGCCTCTCTTGATTTTAGAAAAAATCCCTGGTTACAAACATGACGGAATTTTGGCTCATCTCAGCCCCGGGGGAGAAGACATGTCAGCAGACCTGGGAGAAACTGCACGCGGCAACCACGAAGAACAATAACCTGGCGGTCACTTCCAAGTTCAACATTCCTGACCTAAAGGTAGCGCTGTACTCAGTAGCAAGTGGAGCTACCGAGTGTGTTTAGTTGCCGAGCTTGTGAAATGGAGCGTGCATTGTGGACTGAGTGTGTGTGTGTAGCATATGTGGAGTGCGTGCACGTGTGCATGTATGATGTGTGTGGAGCACCCTGTGTTGTGCTGCATGCACGTATGGAGTAGGGTGTGCATTATGGGGCACATGTGCATGTGTGTGTGTGAGTACGTGTTTGTGTATAACATGTGCCCTGTGTTGTGTGTGTGTGTGTGTATGTTTGGGGGAGAGGCATGTGTGCAGTGTGTCGTGAAGCCTGTAGAAGAGCCATGAAGGGGAACAGAGTTTGGGTGCAACAAGATCCTTTGCTTCTTTTGGAGGAAGTCATTCTCTTTCCTCACCGTTGGCATAATAAAAAGCCTTGCTAGTTTTCATCACCCTTCAGATTTTAGCTAATGAGGAAATGTTTTAGAAGTCACCCCGGCCATAGGAGGATACCTTTGTTTTGTTTTGGTTTGGGGGCTACACCCGTTAGTGCTTCCTCCTGGTGGTGCTGGGGAGACCAGGATGGAATCACGTGGGCCACATGCAGCACATGCGTCTGAACCCCTGTACCCCAAAGAAACACTTCTTTTTGACGCTCCTCTTTGTGCTTTTTTCTGATTTGTAGTTGCAAATGAGATGAAAAGCATTTGGTATGTTGCTTTCCCAAGGTGGATCTTCAGAAGAGGGAAATCCTTGTAGCCTGCCATCATGTCACGGTGAATCAGTATTTCTGTGGGCACACCGTGTGGCGATGGCACTGTCAAGATTTTGCCACAACACCTCCTTAATCCTACTTGGCAGATTTAGCCTAGATATTTGATCTAGTTATTTGCTGAGTATTTATTAAATATCAGTATCCTGGTGGCCTCAACGTGGAACCGACTGCCAGCACCTGGGTGGCTAACTTAAGAAAAGATGTTACAATTTCGCGATTGACAAAGTGGGGCCGTTGTAGACGCCCATTCAAGATGTATCCCTGTGCTGGTGTGTGCAGAGCCCCGAGTCAGTCTCATGCCCCACAAGCCCCCCCCCCGCTCCCCAGAACCTCCAGCTGTGGCCCTGGTGCCCCCTTCCCTCATACTGCAGGGCATGAGTCCCAACCCATCAGGCCGCACTGCCTGACCAGATGTTACCAGAGAGGCCCCTATGTACCTAAGGACTTAGGGTGACTAATGCCACGAACATACCTGGGGAATTCCTTGTAATGGTACAGAGAGTGGACGGTTTTTTCTAGAACATATGCTTGTTTGGTTTTGTTCTTTGGCTCTACCAGGAAGTGCTTGGGGCCCTCTTCTGGCTTGGCACAGGGCTTTGCTCCTGTTGGTGCTTGGGGGATCCTGCGGTGCTGGAGACCGAGCCTGGGGCCCCATGCACTCAGGCCTGTGCCCCAGCCCTCTGCACGCCTCCCGGGCCAGAACACTTGCCCTTCCACACGGCAGTTTTGCAGCTGAATGCAGCCCCGGCCCCTCTGGTGCAGAGCCACGGGCCCCTCCTTTATCATTACTAAGATTGGTTACTTTAAAATTATTTTTGAGGGGCTGGAGCGATAGCACAGCAGGTAGGGCATTTGCCTTGCATGGGGCTGACCCAGGTTCGATTCCCAGCATCCCATATCGTCCCCTGAGCACCGCCAGGAGTAATTCCTGCGTACAGAATTAGGAGTAACCCCTGTGCACCGCCGGGTGTGACCCAAAAAGCAAACAAACGAAAACATAAAATTAATTTTTACTTTGGGGCCTCTCCAGGTAGTGCTCAGGGCTTACTCGTGGCTCTGTGCTCCAGGGTCATTCCTGGTGGTGCTTAGGGGACCAGAGGCGGTGCTAGGGATGAACCGGTGTCAGCCTTACCCTGTACCATCTCTGTGCCCGGCACCTCTCTAGAGGCATGGCATAGGGTGGTACCCGGGGGGGGCACAGTCTGCCATTGTGGAACTGTTTGTCTTCCGTGGTGGCTGTGCCCTGACCTAGAGGATTATGTTATACATATAAACAGCTTTTCCATGTCTATAACAAAACAGATGCTTTGTTACCACAGTGCCTGTTCTGAAGTGAAACATACAAGACGTGGAGTCTTCCGGCTCCCGACCCCATGTCCCCTTGTTAACCATGGGTGACTAGTGAGATGCGCTCTTTGCCTTCCAGGTGGGCACCCTGGACGTCTTGGTTGGCTTGTCGGATGAACTGGCTAAGCTGGACGCATTCGTAGAAGGGTAATGTACTCACCGCAAAGACCAGCGCTGGCAGCTGCCCCAGCCACCCGGCATGTGCCTGCTGCTGCTTGGAAGGGTTGGAGGGAACAAGGTCCTTTTCCTCTGGATCTTTCACTGAGACAGCTGGCTTACGTAAAAAGTGCCCATTTGACGTGTGAAAATAGTGATTCTCTTTTTAATCTAAGATGGAATTTTCACACTGGCTCGCTTGTTTCTGAGCCCAGGGTGGGGACCATCAGGGTATGGGGAGCTGTGCTGGCTGGGACGGGTTTGGTCTGCTTCAGTCACTGTCCTTTGCCCTAAACATCCTACTGTCATTTGCCTTTGCGTCCTGTCCCCACTTCCCACAGGCCTCCTGTCAGTATACATTTGCCTCTTCTGGGCATTTTCTCTCAGGGGATGCATGTGGCTGCTTCCCCCTGCCCCCAGCCGCCCCCTTTTTTTTGCTTAATGGCTTTTGGAAAAAAGAATGAAATGAAATTTCATTCTCGTTGTGACCAAGTCTTACTCCAGGGGTCCATGCCACGTTTTGTCTCCTACTCCTCACCAGTGAATATCTGGGTGTCTGCTCTGACTCGAATATGAGTCTGTGCCCAGGGCCCTGTGTATTCCTGTGCTGTCCTTTCTCTCTGGCGTGGACCCAGGAGCAGGACCTCTGGGCCAAGTGTGTGTCTGAGCCCTCTGAGGTCTTTCCAGCTGGTTCCCCAGAGTGGCTGCCCCCGCTGCTCATGTGGACCTTCTGACTTCTCGCCATGCTTGTCAGCTCGGGGTCTGTCCGCTGTAGTCACGGAACTGTTCCGTTCCTGTGTGCTTGCTCTTTTCTGACTCATGATACCTTGAGCATCTTTCAGTGTGATTGTTGGCTTGTATGTCTCCTCACTGGAGAAAGGCCAGTTTGGGTGCTTTGCCCATTTTCACATTGACTTCTTTCATTACCGAGCAGGAAGAATTCTTCACACACTCTGGATTTGTGACCCTCATCAGAGGTGACCTGCACCTGTTTTCTGCCCTCTTGTGGATTCTGTTCACATCCTTGGGGGGATGGAAGCCATTTGGTTTTGACAAGGTCCAATATGTCTCTGTTCTGTTCCTTGTGTCTAAGAAATGATCGGCTGACCGAGGCCAGGCCTGTCTGCTGAGCAGTCGGGCTTTTCTCTTTGGCTCTTTGAGTTTGGTTTTCTGTGCGTGTGAGGGCGGACTCAGTGCCCTCCCGTGTGTTCCAAGCTCAGGCTTCTGGGGGCAGTACTTAGGTGGTGCTCAGCAGTGCTCAGGTGGTGCTCGTATGTGCTCAGCCGGTGCTCAGCAATGCTCGGGTAGTGCTCGTATGTGCTTAGCTGGTGCTCAGCAGTGCTCAGTAGTGCTCAGGTGGTGCTCATCTGTGCCCAGCCGGTGCTTGGCAGTGCTCAGTAGTGCTCAGGCGGTGCTTGTGTGTGCTCAGCCGGTGCTCAGCTGTGCTCCCTCCGTACAGTACAGTCATGGCAGCCACGGGGACAGAGGCAGTTTCTGTGAAGACAGTCACTAACCTGGAAGCTTCTCCTCCAGGGCCGATCCCGGGGCTGGGGTCAGGCAGGGATTAAGTATGCCGAGAGCCATTTGAGTGAAGCGCCAGTGTCTGAAAGTGTCCTCTGCGTGCCAGCATAGGCTGCAGCCCTCTATGCCATCTCCCGGCCTCTGGACTGGTTTTCCAGTCTTCAGTGGCTTTGTTTGCCTGTCTATAGACCATCAGTGTGATATCCTGGGTATAGTTTAAGTAAGAGCTGCTCACATTTGCAGGGAGGTGGGAGGATGTGGTTTGGCCCGTTCTTGGCAGTGCTCAGGGGTTACTCCTGCCTCTTTGCTCATGGATCACTCCTGGTCATATTCTGGGGATCCTGTGTGGCTTCAAGGGCTGAATCTGGCTGGTCACATATAAGGCCCTGTTATGCCCTCTCTTCGGCCTAAGATTTGCTCACATTAAAAAAAAAAATAAATTGATGGGATTCTGTGGTTTACAATTCTGTTCATGGCTTCTCATCCACATAATTTCAAGATACCCATCTGGTCACATTTTTTTCTGTTTGTTTTGGTTAGGAGGCCTCATTTGGCTGTGCTTAAGCTTACTCCTGGCTCTGTGCTCGGGGGTCATTTGTGGTAGGTGTGGGGACCATAGAGCTTGGGGGAATTAAGCCTGGATCAGCCATGTGAAAGGCAAGCCCTGCCCGCTCTACTGTCTCCCCAGCCTCTCCACAGTTTTAAGGGAAGAAATCTGGAATGTGTTTAGGGTAGGTGTACTTCGTATGGTCTGTAGAATTCACAGCTTCCTGTGCCGTTCGCCAAGCATTCTTTTCTGCACTCTTGTCCACGTTCCCTCCCATTTTCTGCGAGCGATAGGACAACCATGTAGTCCTTAGACTTTGGTAGATGGGGCCTTAATAACTCATGTTCTATGGAAGTCTGACCGTGTATCCCATAGTTTTCATTTTCAGCAAGAATTGCAGCATAGTCCTTACTTTTTTTCCCCCACATATCCATCATCAGGGCATTTTTAGGGTGACCATGTGCCCTCGTTGTCGCTGTCGAGTGATGCATGGAGAGACTGAAGCTCTGGCTTTTGCAGTCCTTAAGTTTATATTAGGTTGCTGTTTGGGGGCCACACCCCGCGGTGCTCCTGACTCTGCATTCAGGGTTCACTCCTGGTAGGGTTCTGGGGACAATATGGAATGCAGGGATCGAACCCAGGTTGGCTGCTTGCCGGGCAAGTGTCCCACCTGCTGTACTTGCACTCCGGCCCCTCAGTTTATAAATTCGATACCGGGTGATTCTACTCTTTCTATGGTAAACACCCACGCACATGAGTCCATCACAGATGGCCTGTTTCAAGGGAGCTTACTGAGCTACCTGGGAGGAATGGTTTGTCCTCTTGGGAATAGTGGGCCAATTTGGGAGACACGTGACTGCATGAACCCCGAGGTATACCTGCTGGCCGCTCGGAGCCTGCTGCTCTCTCCCTGAGACTGGCCCCGGCAGCCCCTACACTGTTTCTGGATTGTGTGGCATGAGTCTCTCAGTCTGCTGGGCCAGCCTCTGGCCCCAGAGTCCTCCTGCCCCTGGCTTCTGGCGCCCTGCTCCTTCCCCGCTCCCCTGGATCTTCATGTATATATGGCACCCTTGGCAAAACCCTACACTGCGGCTTCATCTTCCCATCTTTGCTTTCACCTCCCTGCATCAGGCTGGGAAGCATCCCTGACTGCCGCAGCAAGAAGCCATCCCTTTCTCCTTCATGCCTCGGTGGCATTTGCATCCGGTGGCCTAGTAGTGAGGCGTGGCGCTCTGGGATGACTACCGTGCCCTAGTGGCAGGGCGCTGAGCTTGTGTGCTGCCCAGGCCGAGGGCAGGCCTGAGTCCTGCGCCCCACGGCCCAGGCATTGTTTCTGGTCCCAGCTCCGCCTGGCCTGGCTCTGGGTTTGTGTCTTGTCACACCTTGGTGCCTGTGCACAGAATGATGGGAGCGGCGAGGTAATAGCTAGGTGCCTCTGTGGGTCTGGCCTGGGATTTGCTTAGCAGGGTGCCTTGGAAATGACTAATGAAAAGAAATGGTGGGTGACCTCATTCTTCCTTATCTTCATGTTCTGTCCCCTGTGGCCTTTGACCCCTGTGGTGCTGAGTGGACGCAGGGTCGGTCTGGGGTTGCTCGGCTCCTCGGTGGAGCTCCCTGCCTCTCCCTTCTCTCCTTGGAGTCCGGGCCTGGCAGTGGTCTGCATAGAGAACACTGCTCTCTGCAGATTGTTTACTTCTCACTAGTGACCCCTCTGTGCTTTCCAGGCTCATAAACATTGCATGCAACTTCCTTAAAACTCTGTGGTTACTCGTCCGGATGTTGCACGAAACAGAATCTTGGTCTCTTCACCCTTCGTGAACAGACCAAGCACAAGTCCTTCGTCTCCGTGTAGAAGGTGGGGCCCATTTATTCTGTCACATCCAGCTCTCTGTGATGGGGACATGGTCGAAAATCACAGCTAGATGCAGAAGGGCACACGGTCAGGCATGGGTAGCGGGGAGTTCAAGGCTTTTTCTTGAGAAGTGATTGACTTCCTTTCTCTTCTCTGCTCTCACCCCCCAGGGTGGTTAAGAAAGTGGCTCAGTACATGGCAGACGTGTTGGAGGACAGCAAGGACAGAGTGCAGGAGAACCTGCTGGCCAATGGAGGTGAGTGGATGCGTCGGTGCCAGAGAAGCTCTGAGACACCGTAGACCGGGGTGTTGGGGGCAGAAAGGTGTGAAGGTAGAACAGCGGCCCCTGAGCTTGGGGATGTCAGCCCCATGCTGCCCCCTGACACAGTGCCGTGGGTGCTGCCTCACAGAGACGGTTGTCGCCAGTCCCCTGGAGTCCTGTCTGCGCTTGTGGCTCTTTGTCTCTCCTCGTGTCCTCACCCTTAGAACTGACGCACGGGCTGGATCCTGAGTCTGGTGCCCCCTCCCCCTTACACCTGGGTGACTCTGTAAAGAGAGGGTGACCTCGGGGCACAATCACGCAGGGACTGAGTGGGGTCCTTCCTGGGTACCACATGGCTCCCCTACCACCACTGGGGAGCACAGAGTGGGGTAATCCTCTGGGCACTGCTGAGGTTGGGGGAATTGTGGAGCGAGAGGGTGCTTGCCTTGCACATGGCTGATCCAGGTTTGATTCTTGGCACTGCCAGAAGGGACCCTGAGCACCTCTGGGTGTCACCCCCAAAAGCAAAACCCCTCACAAAGCAGACTTTGTGCTTGCATCCAGAGTTGGCTAAGGAATTGTCTCTTCAGCCTCGTATCTCTTCAGCAGGCCAGTCTTGATGTTCTCACACTAGGAATGAAGTGAGCTTCTCTGTAGGTGGACTGTGTGGGCCCACCACGTCGTCCCGGGACTCCAGGCTGGGCAGGTGACCGGTCCGTCACTCTAGGGCCCTGAGGGGGCTCACAACTGTGAGTCCCCTCCTTGTGGTGGGCGTGGGCCCTCAGGAAGATGAGGGGAGAGCAGCCAGGCTGAGGCAAGACCTGGGCCATGGTCATTTTTCATGGTTCGTGGGTGCAGTGCTTTGGGGTTCATGAGCTAAGGCAGAACAGGTCAGTTCACGAAGATGGGGTTTGGGTCAGGTTTGAGGGGGTCTTAATTGTAAAGGGTTGCACAGGGGGGCCCAGGACAGCAGGGTCCCCTGGGGAAGTGCCTTCAGCAGAGACATTTGCATGCAGCCCTCCTGCTTGGAGGAGGGTCCAGAGGAGCTGGTGGCTTCCACGCCCCCGCAGGCCACGCGGCCAGACATGCATGCGCGTGCACACATACACATACACAGCCCTGCAGGTCACGCAGCTACACATGCACGTGCGCACACACAGATACATAACCCTTCAGGCCACGCAGTCACACATGCACATGTGCACACACATACACACACAGAGCCTTGCAGACCACACAACCACACGTGCATGTGCGTGTACACATATACATAGCCCTGCAGGCCACGCAACCACACATGCATGCGTGCACACACACATACACATACACAGCCCTGCAGGCCACGCAGCCACACTTGCACGCGCATGCACACATATACACAGCCTTGCAGGCCATGCAACCACATATACATGCATGGGCACACACACATATACATAGCCCTGAAGGCCACGCAACCACACATGCATGCGTGTGCACACATGCACGCACACACACAGCCCTGCAGGCCATGCAACCACACATGCACACAAATGCATGTGCACGCACACGCACATACACATATCCCTTCAGCCATGTGTTCACACATGCGTACACACACAGGCATCATGCATGCGCACATGTACCAGAGCAGCAGTGTTTGGTCAGTGCAAAAAACAAACCACTCTTGACAAGCCAGTCGCTCTTCTCCCTAGTAGTGGATCCCTGCCCTGGCCGCTCCCTGTTTAATTGTGTGTCCCGGCCGCTTGTTCTTCAGAGCGCCTCTACTGATTGACACTGGATTCAAGGAACTCAGGTGTCTGTTAGGAGAGTGGGTGGGTGACGGCCTGAGGCAGAGGTGGGAAACTGTTTTTCTGCCAAGGGCTGTTGGGATATTTGTAACATCTTTGGAGGGGAAGAGGTGGCAGGGGAAGCCTGCAGGAAACATCTTAGGGAGCAGACCACAGGATTCCAGGGGCCTTCTATGGCCCCGAAGGGCAATGCCTCAGAAATCGCTTCTGGAAATGCTGCGTCTGCTCTTGGCTCTCTGGCTGCCTATAGGCAGCAGTGAAGGAGAGAAAGGTACTGTGACTAGACTTCCGGGCAAGTAGTTGCCGGATCCTTGGCTCTGGCCATTTCCATTCTTTTCACTGGGAAGAGGAAGGGTCGGGACTGGAAGACAGTTGAAGCGTAGGAAACAGCCCAGCAACGCCACTGGGTGTTTAATGGACAGGCCCGGTGCTCTCTGCTGAGGTAAGCAGTAGAGAAAGAAGATGCTTTTCTTACTGAGGCACTTTCAAGTAGCTTCTTCATCTTTGTGTCTTTCTCCTTCAGCTGAAGCGTAGTGCAGCTATGCATGGGACGTTCTGCCCAAATTGCATAGTCAATTTCATACATAACCTTGTGAAAAGAAGAGATGTGCAATAAAGTTTTGATTAACCCATAACAACAAAGTCTCCAATGGAGACGTTACTGGGCCCGCTCGAGCAAATCGACGATCAACGGGAGGGCCTTTACTTACTTACTTAACCCATGTTACTTAATATCGTGGGCTGGAGCGATAGCACAGCGGGTAGGGCGTTTGCCTTGCACTCGGCTGACCCGGCTGACCTGGGCTCGATTCATTCGCCCCTCTTGGAGAGTCTGAAAAGCTACCGAGAGTATCTCGCCCGCATGGCAAAGCCTGGCAAGCTCCCCGTGACGTATTCGATATGCCAAACACAGTAACAACAAGTCTCACGATGGAGACGTTACTGGGCCCGCTCGAGCAAATTGATGAACAATGGGAGGACAATGACAGTGAATATTAATGTTGGGCTGGAGCGATAGCACAGCGGGTAGGGCATTTGTCTTGCACGCAGCCGACCTGGGTTCGATTCCTCTGCCTCTCTCTGAGAGCCCGGCAAGCTACCGAGAGTATCCCACCCATACTGCAAAACCTGGCAAGCTCCCCGTGATGTATTCGATTTGCCAAAAACAGTAACAACAAGTCTCACAATTTGTTGTGAGACGTTACTGGTGCCCGCTCGAGCAAATCAATGAACAGCGGGAGGACAGTGCCACAGTACTAATATCATTGTTAATGTAGTAAACAGTAAAAGTCTGTTGTTTCTCTTTACTAATTCATTCATCTGCTTATTTCAGTTGACCTGGTTACATACATAACAAGGTTCCAGTGGGACATGGCTAAATATCCAATCAAGCAGTCTCTGAAAAATATTTCTGAAATAATTGCCAAGGTAAGATTTTTTAAAAAATGACCTGGGGGCTAGAGAAAGAGCACCAGAATGGCATATTTGGTCCTTAGCATGCAGGGGCCACTCCCGGCGACAGCCCAAAGCAGGCCCTGAGCATAGCTGGGTATGGTCCAGCCCCCTCTGACCCCGGTGACAAAAGTAGAATGCATTGATTTTGAGTGTTTTTTAAAATATATATTTAAATAAAACCAATTTTTAGGTTTTGACAGTACACCTTAAGTATAGTAAGTTCCTCACTTACTGTGGTCGGTGGGTTCATCTCAAGTCAGCAGGGTTTTGAATCCTCATCAGTATTGGAACAGAACCTGCTGCCCAGGTGGCTGACAGACAGGAGGGACCCTTTAAGAGTCGAAGACCTGAGAAGCACAACAGTCCATGCAGCGTGGTTTTCTCATGAGCACGGTGGACTGAAGTAGTTACAGAAGCGTTTGTCTGAGTTAGGACAGACTGTTGATTTCTGTAGTTACCATCTACCCAGGCACTATCCAGCAGGAACCTGGAATCTGGGCCGGGTGGGAGTCCTTCAGCCAATCATGATGGCCACCCGCTGTGTCTCAGAACTGCTGTAAACATTCAACCTGCTCGTTCTCTGGCTACTTCTGGCTTTCAATATTGATCCTCTTCCCGGGGGGGAGGGCGGGGGGCGGGGAAGGTTTGTGTTCCTGTTGGGCAGGACACCCCTCTTCAGGAACCCACTCTGTCCAGGGGCCTACATCCTGTTCCCGGGTGCTCAGGCTTGAGAGAAACTGTCAGCGCCTCGCCAGAAACTAGACTAGAATGAGGCAGATACACAAGGGCCGGCAGCGTTGGGCGGCATTTTGAAGGCCCAGCATGCCATGAGCGGGTTTCAGTTCTCAGACTTCCCTGTGGGGTTCCCCATCCTGCCCCCGCAGTCCCCTCTCCCCCTTCAGTATGTGTTAAAGCTGTTTTACCTGGCTTAGAGACACATTGAAAAGAACTCTGCCTCTTCTTTTCTTTCTTTTTCTTAAGGGAGTAACACAAATTGACAATGACCTGAAGTCGCGAGCGTCCGCCTATAACAACCTGAAAGGGAACCTTCAGAATTTGGAACGGAAGAATGCGTAAGCATATTCAGTCTCTGGATATTCAGAACTGAGGGGGGTGCGTCGCCATACCCTGCGTGACAGGTTGGGGCTTAGTCCGTGACAGTTTGTTCCGGTTCTTTTTTTTTTTTTTTTTTTGTAGGAGTACTGCTGTTTATTCAGCCACTGATTAGCTGATTGAATTGTGCATGAACTCCATCATACTTTTTTTTTTCATTTTTTATAATTTTATTTATTGAATCACTGTGAGAGCAGTTACAAAGCTTTTGGGTCTAAGTCTCAGTCATACAATGAAACACCCGTACCTTCACCAGTGCCCATTTTCCACCACCATATTCCGGTTCTTAAATGGGTGATTTTTCACTTAGTAGATAAAAGTTTTCTTGTTAGGCTAGTCGAAACAGTTGCTTGGGGGGTTTATTTTTCCTGTTTTGAAAATTATACTTGTGAGTAGTACCTGCATATCAGAGCTGCTTTATCCCTTTATGGGACACTTCATTAAAGAGTTGTCTAAAATTAAGTGTTAAATTAAACCATAGTTTAATTGCATATTAACTAACAGCTGCTTGAAGGACTTCTGGGCTTTTTAGTCTTCGTCTTTTTTCCCAAGTTTGGATTTTTTTTCCATGAGGTTTTCTAAAAACGGGGACACACATTTTGGTTGCCCCTGTGGCAAGACTACTACAGGTGTTGTTTTTCATGCTTTACTGTTGAGGTTGTGCAGTCATGCCCCAGAGGAAAAGTCGTTCGGGCACTCTGGGTGGGACAAACAGGGCAGCAAACATTCATTTCATTCTGAAAAGATGGGTCTTCGAAGGCCTGGGGACTGATGTGGAAGAACTGATGATTAGGTTAACCCACCAAATTGCCTGGCAGTAAATGATACCCCGTGAGGAGGGAGGGAACCCAAGGGGTGTGCTTAGATGACACAATTTCATCACTTGGAGGACACAAGCTTCAGTGGATAACAGGTTTCTCATTAAGATACAGTTTGTGTAATTGGGAGAAGAGCCAAGTTCCTGTAATTACAGGGGCTTGGAGGCCCACATGGATCTCTCTCTGCTGACCTGCCTCTGGTCGCAGAGGTGGGACAGAATTTTCCGAAGCCTTAGAAAGTTTTAAATACTAGCCGAGACTAATTTCTCGAGATGTGGGCCATGCGGATACAGTGAATTGCCATCTGTTTATTTGTGTTATGGAAACACATGATTTTTATGGAGACTATTAAATGATTCGGTATTTTTTTCTTCTTCCTCAGGGGAAGTTTGCTCACTAGAAGTCTAGCCGAAATCGTGAAAAAGGATGACTTTGTGCTGGATTCTGAGTATCTCATCACGTTACTGGTTGTAGTTCCCAAGTAAGTCGTCTTCTTCTTCTAGAGGTTTTTTGCTTGTTAAGCTGCAAGACAGATGTCAGTATCTAATCTTCTAATTTGATGTTTTCTGTAAAGCCCAGGTAGAGAGGGAATAGCTCCTCATCCTTCATTCCGTAAACTGACTTTCATACTTGTCTGTCGGACAACAGTTGAATTTAATTATAACCTGGTAACAGAGATATCATTGTCAGCTGAGATGCCATACCACGCTTAGCAGTTTAGCCTGGCTGTCTTATTTAAAGAAAGAAAAACAAACTAAGTAGTGCTAAATTTTCTTAAAATACAGTCTGTGGATTTTTTTTTTTTTCCAAAAAAGCAAGTTCCTAGTATTGGTGAGAGAGGGTAGCTGTAGTCACACAGCCTCACACGTGCCCTTGGTCTCTTCAGGCCTCGGTGGGCCTGGGCTGTCCCCGGCTGCCTTACCTGCCTGGCAGCCAACAGAGAAATGAGTGATTTTTACACCTCTAATTTTTTTTTAAATTAAAAAAATCTTTTTTTTTTTAAATTTTAAGTTTTTAAAAATTTTAAGCATTTTTTTCATTTTTAAAAAATTTTTTGCACCATGAGATACAGTTACAAAGCTTTCATGTTTGAGCTTCGGTCATACAATCATCGAACACCCATCCCTTCACCAGTGCACATTTTCCACCACCAAAATTCCTAGTATTCCCCCTTCAGCCCCCGTTCCAGTTCTTCCCCTGCTTGTGTGGCAGACAATTTCCCCCATACTCTCTCTATTTTGGTTACATTCGATATTTCAATAGTCCTACCACCACTCAAATCTGCCAAAAAGGTAATGTTAGATGATTTGTTTTGTATTGCTTGTTATAGATAGAATATAATGTCTAGGAAATTCTGTGTCGTTCTTCTCCGGGAGCTTTAGTTTATAGTCTCTGGGTCTTGGCTGTTGGTAAGATTACATGGCGCTAGGGGCAGTTTGTGTGTGTGACTACCAAGCTTTTGGAAAACTGGGGCCTGGGGGGAGGAGGCCCAGTCCCCATCCAAGTGGGCTTGGAGATCTCAGTCACAGGTTCCTGCATTTCTGGGTTTTCTGGCCGGTCCACTCCCCAGTGAGTTTCATCCCAACTTGGGTGAGGCTCGTCCACTCTTGGGAGAGGTCATCTGAGGGTGTGGAGAGTGGCCTTGAGCATGGCGGCAGTTGGGTCAGCACATTCTGTGGTGTTCTCTTCCGGGAACTTTAGTTTATAGTCTCTGGGTCTTGGCTGTTGATGAGATTGCATGGCGCGGGGGGCAGTTTGTGGGTGTGATGGCCAGGCTACTGGAAAACTGGGGACCTGGGGGGAGGAGGCCTATTCCCGATCCCAAGTGGGCCTGGAGATCTCAGTGTCCGGTTCCTGCCTAGCCCCCACACTACCAGCCCTAACTGTGTCTTTTTATCTCTCTTTCAAGATTTATGAATAAATCTTGAAATAAGCCAATAAATGCGCTTATATAGCTGAGCTGAGATGGTTTGTAGGTATGTCTCCCATGTACATACCATGTACATACATGTATTGGCTGTTTAATCTTTGGTAAACTTGGCACCAAGTTGTTGGGGTCTGACCAAAAGCACAGCAGCAATTTCTGGGTATCTGGAAATCTGAAGGAGCCATCAGGCTGCTGATACACCCGCCCCACAGGTACAGGTTGATTTGCTGGCGGCACCATACCCCTGTTTTTTTTTTTTTCCAAAAAAAAAAGAAGAATGATGCTTGTCTACCTGTAGGTTTGACTGTAATTTATAATCTGTCAAACAAACTGTCCTCCCATTGTTCATCGATTTGCTCGAGTGGGGACTGGAGCGATAGCACAGTGGTAGGGCGTTTGCCTTGCCCACAAATGGCCAGGACGGCCCAAGTTCGATTCCTCCGCCCTTCTTGCAGAGCCCAGTAAGCTACCGAGAGTCTCTCGCCCGCTCGAGCAAATAATCTCCTGAATTTAAAAAAATAATTTTTAAAAAATTTACTTTAAAGAACTGTGATTTGGGGCTGGGACAGTAGCACAGCGGGTAGGGCATTTGCCTTGCATGCGGCTGACCTGGGTTCCATTCCCAGCATCCTATATGGTTCCCCGAGCACCACCAAGAGTGATTCCTGAGTGCAGAGCCAGGAGTAACCCCTGAGCATCGCTGGGTGTGACCCAAAAAGCATAAAAAAAAAGCTGTGATTTGCAAGATTATTCATAGTTGAGTTTTAGACATAAAATTTTCTGGCACCAATCCCACCCTCTCAGCCCCAGGGTTCCCAAGTGCCCTCCTGCCCTTGACAGGTTCGGTGGGTAGAGTTTGGATCTCACGTGGTTGGTGTTGAGTTTGTGCTTTGGGTTACAGCTCTGTCACTGGATTATGCCTCCGTCACTGGCATAGCCGAGGCCCCAACTTTCTCATCTTACTTAGCGCCCTTAATTCCTTTCCTTCTCTGTCCTTCTCCTCCCTATTCTCTGTGGTCAAGGGTGATCTAGGCGTCCCTCCTGTATGACATTGTGGAGAATCTCTGATTTTGTTTAACCTCCTTTCCAAGCTTGAGTTTGAGGAGTCTTGTGGGAGGTTCTTGCCGGCAGTGAGCTGTGTTCTCTGCTCTGCTCCCGGCATTGGACATGGACTTGCAACAGCTGCCTGCATCTGGGTCCCCTGGTTTCTCTGTTCCTGTGCTTATAGTGTCCTTCCTGCAGGTTAAACCACAACGACTGGATAAAGCAATACGAAACGCTGTCGGAAATGGTCGTTCCTAGGTCGAGCAAGTACGTGTGCTTGGGACGGCCTCTGTCCCGGGGCTCCCGTAGTTTTACTCCTGGGTTAAGGAACCATCTGTGCGCTCTTTCCCGGGTGCTAGTATGCAAAATTTTATTGTTTTCAATTTAAGGGGGGGGGGGGGGTGGCGGCACACCTCACTGTGCCCAGGGCTTACTCCTGGCTCTGCATTCAGGGATCACTCCCATGTTTAGGGGACCCTATGGAAGTGCCAGCTGGTGTTGTCACTGCAAGAGACAGTGCAGAGCCAGAGCCCGTTGGTGGGTCTGCCGGAAAGGGAAGAGCCCCCTCGCTCCTCCCACACCCCCCCCACCCCCAGACCCAGGGTCTGCCCTCCACTCCTATGAAAGCTGCAAACACGAAACTCTCCCTGCCTCTGTCTCCCCCAGTGTTCTCTCTGAAGACCAGGACAGCTACCTCTGTAATGTGACACTGTTCAGGAAGGCGGTAGATGACTTCCGACACAAAGCCAGAGAAAACAAGTAAGGGGCCAGCCTTCTGGGGTCCCTCAGCTTGGCCCTCCCTGCCGGCCTGGCCTACGGACCATGGTGCCTTTCCCCCTCCGATTCAGGTTCATTGTTCGTGACTTCCAGTACAATGAAGAAGAGATGAAAGCGGATAAGGAAGAAATGACCAGACTCTCCACTGATAAGAAGAAGCAGTTTGTAAGTGTGGCCGCTGTGTGGGACAGGGTGTTTCCCTCGGGATCTTCACATTGGCACAGCTTCTCCTTTGGCTTTGAAAAGGCATGATTTGGTTTTGGGGGCGACACCCAGCAGTGCTGGGGGGCACCAAGTGTGCTGGGGATAAACCCCAAACTCCCACACACCGAAGCTCGTGCTCTGGCTTTGTTTGGTTTCTGTGTTTTGTTTGGGTCGCACCTGGAGATGCTCAGGGGTTCCTCCGGGCTCTGCACTCAGGAATTACTCCTGGCAGTGCTTGGGGACCATCCCTGTGCCCTAGCAGCCGTTTTCCCAGCCCTGGTTTTAGTTATTTTTTGTTTTAATCGGAATGAGTTTTCTCTGAAGATACATTAGGATGAAATTTTCTCTCTGGGCCATTGATGTCTGGTGTGTGTGGCCTTGGGCTACTCCCCAAGGTGCTTGGGGGCTGTTCCTGCTCTGTGCTTGCAGGTCACTTCCTGTGGTGCTAGCCGGGAGCACAGGTGTCGGTGGGGGCTGAGTATTGAGCCCGGCCTGCAAAAGCCTGCACTCAACTCATTGAGCTGTCTCTTGGACCCAGACAAATTGATCATTAAAAAAATTTTTTTAAACTCCTTCCCCCAGAGATGGAGTGTAAAGGGAGTGTTTGGGCAAAGTCCTGTAATAGTTCAGTGCTTCCCTAAGAAACAATATTAATAGAATAGTGATACTGCTTTCATTAAAATAGGTACGATTTCTCTGTGTGGCCCAGTTTCAGTACATTTTAAATGCCTGTAAGAGGTTGCAGGGGAAATACTTGGTTTGAGCCCCGTTCATATTTCCAGCAATCCTTAGTAGTGGCAAATGAAAGAATCCAGAATGATGAGAGTCGATGAAACACTGTAAATTTGGAGCCATGGTGCAGCAGACCGAGTATTTGCCTTGCACTCTGGCTCACCCAACCTCGCTACCTGGCATCCCATATGGTCCCTAACACCGCTCCCGCCCCCCCCCCCCCCCCCCCCACTTCCCCCCACTCCAGCACGGAGCCAGAAAGGAGCCCTTGCACTGCTGGGTGTGATCCCAAGACAAACAAGTGACTTTCAGTGGGACTTGATTCACCTGTGCATTCTTATTGCTTTAAAAGTCTTCATGTGATTTCCGATTCCCGTTTCTGAGCCCCAGCATGTGGTGATGTGTTTCCTCCCGTCCCTCTTCATCACAGGGGCCTCTCGTGCGGTGGCTGAAAGTCAACTTCAGCGAGGCGTTCATCGCGTGGATTCACGTCAAGGCCCTCAGGGTGTTTGTGGAGTCAGTGTTAAGGTAAAGGGGCTGAGTCAGGGGACTGGGAGGGAGGCCCTTGGGAGCAGCTGCATAGGAGGCTTCCGGCTCAGGGCGGGGCCAGTCTGGAGGAACCAGCATCTGGGGTCGGGGCGGGGGGTCTGTTCCCTGTCCCGCTCTGTATGTATTTTTAGTCTTGTCCCGTAACACAGGAGGAGGATGTTCAGGGGCGTTCCTCGGTGTATTTTCTCGCCATAGTCACTCATGTTCACAGTGGATGATAGACTGAGCTGTTTGTTTAAAGATCTCTCCGGGCTAAGAGAGCTCCACGGGCTGCAGCCCGCATGGCATCTGCGTCCGAACAGCGCAGGGTGTGGCCCCAAACAAAAGCGAAACAGAAATCAAAAGACCCTTCCTTCATCTTACGTCTTGTTGCGGTCTGTTAATGACTTACTGGGACTGTTCTGTTGTTTGGTTAGGCTTAAAGCTCAGTCATTTTGCAATCCTCTGGACGTGTTATTTCTCTTAGAACAGTTTAGAATGGGGCTGTTCAGCCCTGCTACTAGTTTTAAAATAGAAGTAGGTAATCTCATGTTTGCTTGTTGTCATGAAACTATTCCATTTCCGTGCTATTACTTTCCTTGTGATGTTTATTCATAGCTTATAAAAATTGAAGAGCGATTAAGGGTTATTCCCTGTCGACAGTTGACTCTCATTTAATTTCTTTTGGTTCCTGGGGCCACAGTGGTGCTTGGGGACTCCATGTTTGGGCAGCGGCGGTGGGGGGGGCGGTCACTCCAGAGTGCTCAGGGGACCGTGCGGTGCTGGGGTGAGGCCCCAGGCCCATGCCCATGCTGTCCAGCCCTGCTTCTCGTTCTAGAGAAAGGATTTCTGATGCTCCGTGAGGGCCAGGGAAGGGGCTCAATAAATTGTTGCTTGACTTGAACATGCAGAAATTTGAAATCAAAGTATCCTGTTCCTTCCCGTTGTGATTGGAGAATAGTCCGAGAATACCTGTTTCATACAGAGACTCGGGGGTCACTGTGTCTGTGTCCTTTCCAGGTATGGCCTGCCAGTGAACTTCCAAGCAATGCTCCTTCACCCCAACAAGAAGACAATGAAGAAGCTAAGAGAAGTGTTGTACGAACTGTACAAGCACCTGGACAGCAGCGCCGCGGCTATTATTGACGTAAGGACCCGGGGAAACGGTCTCTGAGGAAGATGGAGAAAGGGACAGTGAGCGTTCGGGGGGCTGCTCGGGCCTTCCCTGTGGGTGCAGTGGCAGATGTTTCACCTGCTTCACCTCGTGCTTCAGAGTGAGGCTCTTGCCACTTGGTTATTTCCCAGAGCTGGTCATTATCTTGCTATAGATGTGGATCAGCTCTTTACAGCTGCAGAAATGCAGAAACAAACCAGCTCTGCTGTTGTTTAGCAAAGCTATAAATTGCAGAGGGGAAGAAAATTAGTGGTTTAACTTTATTTGGTGGAAGGAATGGAGTCCCTAGGTGGGCCTTTGGAAGGAACCTTTTTCTAAAATGGTGTTCAGATCGAATCTTAACGGCTGATCTAAGTAACATGGGTGCATTTTGATGCTGCTGCTGTTCCAAGTTCAAGGGGGATTTTATGTACATATGTGTGTGTGTGTGTGTGTGTGTATATATATATATGTATATATATGTGTATGTATGTATACATATACGTGTGTGGCGGGGGGGGCTGGTGCTGTGGAGGCCCTGCAGCCCTGGGGTCAGACAGGCCCTGTGATGCCAGGCAAGCCCTGCAACCCCTTTATAAACAAAGGGATTTTTCGTTTGTTTTTGGGTCACACACAGGGGTGCTGGGGACTTACTCCTGGCTCTGTGCTCAGGGATCACTCCTTGTGGGGCTCGGGGGACCCTGAGCAATGCTGGGAATTGAATTGGTTTGCTGCGCGCAAGGCTCCTTGCTTTAGCTCCTGTACTTCCTCTTGGCCTTTTGCCCCTATTATAATATTTGTCTCTTCATTTATTTTTATTTCATTTATTTATTTATTTTTTGGCCACACCTGGCACAGTGCTTGGGTTACTCTGGGTCTGCACTCAGGGCTCACTCCTGGCGGTGTTGGGTACCATGTGGGATGCTGGGGGATCGAACCCGGGTCAGCTGTGTGCACAGCAAATGCCTTCCCCACTGCACTATCGCTCCAGCTCCCTTTCCCTTTAATTTTCTTTTGTTTTTGTTTTTTTTTGTTTGGGGGTTACATTAGACTTTGCTGAAGGCTTGCTCCTCGCTCTGTGCTCAGAGATTATTCCTGGCAGGACTTGGGAAACCCTGCACAAGTGCTGGGGATCAAACCTGGGTCAGCCGTATTCAAGGCAAGTGCCTTTACCTCTGTGCCATCACTGCAGCCCCTGGCCCCATTATATATTGTTGTTTTCAGATATTTCTGATTTGTGTTTTCCTTAATCTCAATTGGTTGTATCACATACCTACATTAGTTAGAACTCATAAATAATTAGGATTTTTGATGAAAAAAAATGTAGGCAACAACTTTCTCTATGTTCACAATATTGTTGATAAAATATGAAGTCTTACTATTTGATTCATAATTTCCTACCAATAAATTCTCATTGCATGCTTCTGTAATAAGTGATAGTTTAAAACCATCCTTATTTTTATTCAATGTTTCCTTTGTCTTAGAGCCCATAAACTCAGTACTATGGGCCTGGGTTTTAAAATAAAATTTTATAGTTTATGTACATGATAAAAAGGACGGTAGGATTATGATGCATGTCGGCTTTGGAGCCAGAGAACCTGGAACCTGACTTCATTTAATACTTCGGACGTGCTGGTTGAGTCCAGGGCCTCCAGGCAGGGCTGGCCCTCTGCTCTGGCGTCACGTCTCCGGCCCCTGAACCTGGTTTGACCTACTTAGCCACTTCCCAAGACCAGTGAACCCGGGGTTGTTCCCTCACTTGCAAAATGGGAATGATAATAGCTGTAGATGAAATTGACAGAGGCCAGAAGCGCAGAGCTGGGGCTGGTATCAGTCTGATGAACTCTGCCGCTCGGTGTGACTTCTGACCTCAGCACAGCCAAGTGTGACCTGACCCAAACTACCCCCACCCCTCCACCATCCCCCCATCTCACTGCTTTCAAAAAATAAAACAGGTAGATGTGGTACTCTGTTTTCTCTTATCTTCATTCCCCTGAGTACTTACCTGACACTTGATCTTTCCATAGGCCCCTATGGACATTCCGGGCTTAAACCTGAGCCAGCAGGAGTACTACCCCTATGTGTACTACAAGATTGATTGCAACTTGCTGGAATTCAAGTGAAAGTCAAGCTCCCCGGCTGGCCGGGCCCGCCTTGTGTTGGTCGGTGTCACTGGCAGGACAGCCCCTAACTCTTACCCCTCCGCTTGCTTCTCACCCCCTTTCCTCGGTGAGTCCCCCACCGCCGTCCGTGGCTCTACAGTTCCTGTTTTCCAAGAAGAGTACACATCTTGTTTCTATTGGTCTGTAAATGTGTCCTAAAAAGAAAAAAAAATCAGAGTTTATTTATAAACAGAATAGTTTATTTAAAGAGGTCTTTCCCCCATCCATTTTGTGGTTTGCATTAATTCTGTGTTACTATCGTGCACAAAAGAGCCTTGTTTACAAGGGCCTGGTGTAAGTGTTTATGCCATTGGGTTCGCTGTACTTAGTAGAGCTCACTGTTTTAATAGTTCCTGAATCGTGATGTAAAGAAATGTGACAATATTCAGGTTATGTGATTGCTGAATATTTCAAATTACAACCTCTGAGCACTGTTGCCATCCACAGGAGCAAATAAAGTTACCTGTGCAAAGGTGTGTTGTGTGTGTGTACCTTGAAAGGCATGCAGGTGTAGACCAAGGCAGGGCTGTGTGTATCAGCCTGTGTGTGACTGGACCAGGCTACATGCCTTTCCGAGCAGGGGCCATGAACTGGGGGCTGGTCATGCCATGTCAGTTGGATACCTCTGGCCTCCGACCTTAGACGTTTGATTCCCTCGAAGATGTGAGGATGTTGGGCTGATTCTGGGAAAAAGTCTTGCAAAATAACTCAGTTCCCCTCCAAGCATACTTTTTAAGATCTAGAATATAGGGACTGTCGATGTGGCGCAGAACTCGAGCATTTACTAAAGCATGCCTGAGGCCCTGGTTAGTCCTTGTGCACACACACACACTCTGTGAGAGCTGTAATGATAAATCTACCTCCTGACATTTAGGTCATTTACATCTTCTGAAAGTAGAGTCTGGTCTAAAAGAATCTATGAAATGAAGGACTTGGTCTAGTTGTTTTTTTTTTTAGGAGGTGCTCCCCACGCAGTGCTCAGAGGCCTGGGGGCTTCTCTTGGTGCTGCTGGGCCAACTGGACCAGATGGTTTCTGGTTTTAGCACCAAGATGCTGGGGCCCATGGCCATGTAGGAGTCAGAGCATGTGCTGAGATTTTACACGGGCCAGTGTGTGTGTGTGTGTGTGTGTGTGTGTGTGTGTGTGTGTGTGTTGGGGGGATGCAACATCGCTTGCCCCTGTATCTCCCCAGCCCCGAGGGAGATTTTTGGGATTCACTCCCCTGCCTCCTCCAGAGCACTGTCTGGCTTGTGCTTAAGGGGAGAGAGAAGGGTTTGCATTTTCTTTGCAGGGCACCGATGAGCTGTCCCAAATCCTTCTCATTTCAAATTCCTTATTAACAAATGCAGGCTGTGTAAAGTAAAACATGAGCCCCCGCTGTCCCCCAGACCCTCTCCCCACCCCCTAGTTCTTCTAAAGAAGTTTGTGAGTGTCCCCTGGCCAGCCTCTGTCTTCACTGCGTACAGCCATACCCAAAGGCATTTATTTATTTTTGACTTTTTGGTTTGGGGGACACACCTGGCAGTGCTCAGGGCTTACTCCTGCTCTGTGCTCAATGATCACGCCTGCTGGGACTTGCAAGCCAAACCCTTACCCTTCCAGTCTCTCTGGCCCAGGTTAATTTTGGAAGATGCCAGCATCCCGCTGCCCCTCTCGCATTTGCCCTCTTGCTTTTGTCTCTGTCGTCCGTGCGCCAGCCCTAGTGCTGATCTGACCCCTCTGGGATGGGGCCGGGGCACCTCTGCCCAATGGGTTCGGCACATTCGAATTTTGCTCCTCTAAACTGCCACAGCGCCCCCTGCCCGCACCCTTCTTGTCCGCCGCAAGCCTTAGTGGCCCGGCCCTGGGGTCAGTGTGACTAAACCTGGATGCCCGCTGCCACGTTACCTGTCGGGAGTTCTGGATGGGCTTGGGATGCTGGTTTTCTTCTGTGATTTTGCTCTGGGCAAGGGAAACGAGCCTGTGCTTCGGGCACCCCATCATTCTGGTTCTTGCGTCTTTCTCACATGGTCTCCGACGGAGCCTCAGGAGCTGCAAAGCGGGGTCGGGCTATTCCATGCTTTGGACAAAGTGCACATTACCCTGAGGATTTGTTCAGATCCACGTCGGGACTGGGACAGAGCATCCAATTGGATCCCCCTCTCTTGTTCTCCAGAGCTAGTTGGGGTCAGATCTTTGTTCCCCAGGGCCATGCTGGGCTGCGGCTGTAGAGGGCGCTCGCGAAACGGTCCCCATGCCTTGCTGCAGACCGAGGGCCACTGGAAGCACCTTGCTAGCTTGTGGACACACACCCAGGCACTGGGGCGAGAAGTTTTCTGCTTTCTTGAAAATGCTGGCAGCTCGGGTGCTCAGCTGCCCGTCGCCTCCCAGTGCATCAGGCTGGGCCCCGTGGGAGAGAACCTGGCAGGCCGCGCCCTGCATGCCGGTCTCACACATGTAACCCAGGGGGCTCCTGCTGAAGCCGCCCCTCCTGCATCCCGCATGGCCCCCAGACCCGGGCAATACCCACCTCCCCCAACAGCTCCCACGTGCTCTCTGTACCCAGTCTCCTGGCAGTGTCAACGCTTCCCTGCGCTCTCTTCAAAAGGGGCTTGTCTCCCAGTGTTGGGAATGCAAGATGCTGACCAAGTCATGAGGTTGTTTTCTGTGTTCCCAGCCACCTTTCAGTTGCTTTTGAGACATCAGAGTAACCAGACCTGTCTGTTCCCCTATTGAGAACACCCAAGGAGCACCTCCGCAGGCCCGGGGAAGCAGTGGGTATTGTCTTCTGCGGACATGGGTGAGACAGTCCTGGGTGCGTGCACTTCTGTGTTCCAGCCTTGGTTTCCCAGAGTGCAGTGGCACCTTTCACTGTAAAAGGAGAGGAGGTAGGCCAGATGAGTCCAGAACCAGTGTTCTAGGTGAAACATCCTTAAAAGGGTTCTAATATCGAAGTTTATTCAGATGGAGTCATGGAAAACTTACTGAGGCCTTTTCTCCCCGGCTTTAGATAAACACGTGGCTGTAGTTCTGGCTTAGAACACATGGCTGTAGTTCTGGCTTAGAGGAGGCAGCTGGGGGTGCTGGCGTGTGTGGGAACCTAGGTTTTGTGCCAGCACCACTCTCCTACCCTCCTAGCCCATAGCAGGAAGGTTTGGCCCACCAGAACCTACCCCTCAGCGTACACCTTCAGAAGGGTCAGGGGAAGAGGGAGCCAGTGGCCGGGCACAGGTGGGAAGGCCCCAGCCCCGCTGTACCACTAGAGGGCTCTCGGTTCCACTGAGAGCTGTGGGTACCTGCACACACCATTGAAGATGCAAACTACATGCCTATACCACACACACACACACACACACACACACACACACACACACACACACACAAACCTGCGCGCGCGCGCAGGCGCATGAGCGATTTAAAACACTCCAATGCTCTGGAGGAATGATCCAGGATATTTTGTTGCAAGTGTTTATTAGTATAAATTCTCAGAAATTGTGAGGGGTGTGTGTGTGTGAGAGCGCATGTATTTGTGTGTGTATTTGTGACTGTCTGAGTATGTGTGTCTTTATGTATTTGTGAGTGTATGTGCATGTGTGTTTGTGTTTGTGTGTATCTATGTCTTTGTGAATGTGTGTATGTGTCTGTGTATTTGTGTGCTCTGTGTGTGTGTGTGTGTGTGTGTGTGTGTGTGTGTGTGTGTGTGCCCTCCATCCCTGCATCACATGACTCACACCCTCTGTGGGCTGGGGGGAGGGGGCCAGGGGCACCACGCCCGGGCCGGAGGGGCTGCAGCCGCCTCTCTGCAGCTGCCGGTGCCCCTCCTGTGTCTCACCCTCCCCAGCTCCACTCACCTTTGCTTCACCCCAGCTCCTGCCTGAGGAATGTGGCGGCAGCCCGCCCAGCGCCCTCCCTCTGGGGGAATAAAGCCCCTTTGTGTGGCCCGCAGCCCCACCCTGCGCTTCAGCCTACTGGCTTCCTGGAGGCAAAGTACCCCAGCCCCAGGGGTGGGGGAGGGGATTAGACCTGGGCTGTGCTAGGAATGCCTGTGGGGGGGTGGGGGGAGCTGATCCCTCTAGTTGGGTAAAAGAGGGGTCTTGTGAGGGGTCAACCGCTCTGTGCGTGTGTGTGTGTGTGTGTGTGTGTGTGTGTGCGCGCGCGTGCATGCGCGCTCGCCCTTCTAGAGCCCGGAACAGACTTCCCTGCCAGCAACCCAGTTAATGGCCTTGCTGACCAGCCTTTCTAACGCTGAGTCTCCTCCCCTCCCCTCCCCTCCCCTCCTCTCCCTCCCCTCCTCTCCTCTCTCCTCCCACCTCTCCCCTCTGTCCACTTCTCCCTTTTGACTTTTTGCCTTCTCCATTTTAACGTAACTTGTAAGTAATTTCCATCAGTAGCACCTGTTTAGGAGGCAAATCCAGGACCCCTGGGAGCTAGCTGGAAGGTGGTCAGTAGCCCCTGCCACCTCTGGCACCAAATTCCCCCCTTCCCCAGCTCTGTAGGTAACCCTGGAAGCTCCTGGCACTGCTAAGTGATGCAGGCAGGAAGAGTGGGAAAGGCCCCCACGGCAATTGGAAGTAATAAAACCAGTAGCCCCAGGTGTGAGCTCCAGGACTGAAGCTGGATCAGACTTCACCTGGTATGGAGAGAGACCCAGAGAAGGCTGGACCCGACCCCTCACCCCCCTTGGAGAGAAGCTCCAGCACAGCAGAAAAAAAAAAAAGGAATTTCAAAGACCATCAACATTCCCAACTCTACCCACTTGGCAACCACCCTAGCAACGGGCTCTTACCTAGCTAGAAAGCCCCCACATGGGGCATCTGGGAAAAACTATAAAAGCCAACTGGAACAAAGGAAATGTGCACATGCTGCCCAGTTTGTGCCGCTGTGCTCACATGGTCAAGCACATGTGGTGGCCAGCATGCGTGTCACCCAAATCCTCCCTCTTAAGATGTGTACTGGGGTGCTCTTTCTCTGTCCCTCCTTCCCCTTATCAAAACCTCCAAATAAAATCTTTTTACTTCATTGCTCGTCTTGCAAAATTTTCCCGAAAGGGCCCAGAAAGCCTGGTCAAGGCTAGGACTGGCTTTCCATTCCTGCAACCCAATTTCCAACCCTGGGTTTGCTCCTGGCTCAGCATGTAGCCCCTGAGTGCTGCTGGGGTATGAGCCAGCACCTCCCCCCACCACCTCCAATCAAACAGAATAGATGAGTTTTATAAGATGTGATTTATTTCTCTAACAGAGATGATCTCAGATCTACAAATTCAGTTCTCTGCTTATGTTCTGGGCTGGAGCAATAGCACAGCGGGTAGGGCGTTTGCCTTGCAAGCGGCCAACATGACCGTTCCGAGTTCGATTCCTCCACCCCTCTTGGAGAGCCCAGCGAGCTACCTGTTGCGTATTCGATATGCCAAACACAGTAACAGTTGTCACAATGGAGATGTTACTGGGCCTGCTAGAGCAAATCCATGAACAATGGGAGGACCGTGACAGTGCTTA